TTGCCCATTTGGGCATATTTTACATATGCATTGTGTGGCCTTTTGTGTCTGTCTTCTTTCACTTAGCTTAATATTTTCAAAGTTTGTTCATGTTTTACTACATATCAGTACTTCATTCCTTGTTAGGGCCCAATGATATTCTAGTATATGGGTATATAATATTTTATTTATACACTTATTAGTAATAGACATTTGGGTTGTTTGCACTTTGAATAATGCTTCTACAGACATTTTTATACAATTTTTCTGCATGGATGTTTTCAATTCTTGTGGATATATACCTAGAAGAGTTGCTGAGTCATTTAGTTACTCTATTTTCAACCTTCCAAAAAATTTCCAGATTGTCTTTCAAAGCATCTACACCATTTTACATTCCTGTTAGCAGTGTGTGAGTATTCCAATTTCTCCACATCTTCACCAACACTTATTATTGAGTCTTTTTTTATTATAGTCATCATAGTGGGTGTGAATGGCATCTGTCTTAGTCCATCTTGAGACTGAGTAATTTATAAAGTAAAGTTGTTACAGTTCCAGAGGCTGGGAAATCCAAGGTTGAGGAGGCTGTGTCTGATGAAATCCTTCTTGCTGCATAATCCCATGGCTAATGTCCTAAGCAGGGCAAGAAAGCACATGCAAGGGAAAGCAAAAGGTCAAACAGCCTCGAGCCCTTTATAATGGACATTAGGTCATTCACGAGAGTGGGGCTCCCATGGCCTCAAATCCCCCATTCGGCCCTGTCTCCCAACACTATGATTTTTTTTTGGTACTGGGGATCAAACTCAGGACCTTGCGCTTGCAAGGCAGGTGCAGTGCCACTGAGCTAAAGTGAATGTACCCTAACTTGAACATCTGGAGAATACAAAGAAGGACCTGAAAATTCCCTTTCTAATGTCCTCTAAGACTTTGATTACATTTATATGCACCTCATTCTATCTTGACTTGGATTTTTTAAAATTCTCATGTAATCTTATTATAGGTCTATCCAGATTTCTCTATTTCTTCTTGAATCTGTTACGATAGTTTGTTTCTTTCTAGAAAGTTTTCCATGTCATCTAGATTCTCTAATTTATTGCCATGCAATTGTTTATAGTATTCCCTTATATAATGCCTTTTTATTTTTGTAACATTGGTGATATTGCCCCTTCCTTAATTCCTTATTTTATTTTATTTTTGGTACCAGGGATTGAACTTGGGACCTTGCACTTGTGAGACAGGTGATGGAACCACTGAGCTAAATCCCCGGTGCTTAATTCCTTATTTTAGTAATTTGAGCCTTCCATGTCTAATTTATTTTTAATTCCAAAGATTATAAATTTATTTTTCTTGTAAAAATCCAAACATTGCAGATAAAACATGCCTTGATTTCGATCCTCAGCCCCAAACACTTTCACAGAGATAATTCTGTTATCAGTTAGGTGTATCTTAGTTACTATTTATCATAATTACATAGTTGAGCTAGTGTACTGGTTTCTATTGCTGCATAACAAATTTTAAAATGTAATGTGCTTAAAACAAATCATAAATTTACCAGCAAAAACAATACCAATTATCTTTTTTTTCCTTCTTTTTATTTTTTTATTTTTTATTTTTGGTTTTTTGAGATAGAGTCTCACTATGTAGCCCAGGCTGGCCTTGAACTCTCTGTGACCCTCCTGTCTCAGGTTCCTAAGTGCTGGGATTACAGCATGCGCCACTATACCTGGTCAGGGTACCACTATTATAGACAGGCAAGTTAGGTAGACAACAGGCAGACAGAGAGGCACTGGGTGTAAGATAGAGTCAGGGTGAACAGGCCTTGGTCAGATAAGCAGGAGCCTGAGGTCAAGAGTTAATAAGAACCAGGTGGACAGTTAAGCCCAGGGATGCAACAAGCAAGATGACAGATGACAACTTCTGCTCCTTTCTATCTAGAAAATGACTTTTCTTCTCATTTTGTTCTTTTAATAAACCACCTAAGTATGATAGAGGCTGTGGTGGATTAACTACTGGTCATTTTGGAATGCCCAGCTGAACTGAATCAGCGTGGTTGGGCATGGAAGACCCACCTGAGGATTGTTGCCAATGCCATAAAGAGAACTGGAGGGGAAGATCATTGGCTGTTGATTTTCTTGGAGAAGCTTGCCATGGCAGGTTTTTCTGATGTGAACTTGGCTGTTCTCATCCAAGGAGGAGCTCAGAACCCCGCTGTTGCTGGGAATGGCTGCTCTTCTCATCAAGGGAGCCCTGATCTTCACCTTGACCATTGCTTCCTGGCTCTAGTGTAGATCCCTCAGTCTGGTGGGACAAATCCTTCACCCCACCAGCACAAGCTTTCTAGCTTCCACTACTGGCCTTTGGCCCTTCCCCATGCAGATCCTCCACTTGGACTTGCATGAGACATTGCTGCAAGCTCTAGGCCTCTGGCTAGCCTCATGGAGGACATTCGCTTGGGCTCTGGGCCTTCAGCTGGACTTGCACGGGACATTGTTTTGGGATCCAGGCCCTCAGCTGGACTCTTTAGGTCTCTAGTGCATGGAGAGATTTATTGTGCTCCTCTAAATTTGACTTTTTGGGTGAATATTATAAAATAATCCTATAAATTATGTGCCCTGTATTAAATCTACTCCTTTGCAAACCCTGACTACAGAGGCCAAAAGGCACGTGCAAACACACATTTGCTACCTGCCTCAGCTCCTCATAGACCCATTTCTAGTTTAAATGAGCTTATTTTATTTATTTTCCAGTACCGGGGATCAAACTCAGGACCTTGTGCTTGTGAGGCAGGCAGCAGCACCACTGAGCTCAATCCCTGGCCCTTAAATATAAGCTTATTTTAGTCCTATAGGTTGACCTTAGTTTGACTCAGAGTTTGAGCCCTGACCCCTACTAAATGAAGAGTCCTCATGGCAGCTGTTATGGTGTCTATCTAGATGTCCCCTCAAAGCCTCATTCGGTCATAGGTGGGGCATTTGGAAGGTGGCTGGATTAGGGTGTGTGCATGTGGATTAAGGGTGTAGATAATGGAAGCCCAACCCTGGGTATGGGTGGCACCAGTCAATAGGCTTGTAGCCTGGATGGAATATAAAGGGAGAGAAAAGGAAGGCAGGCTTGCTGCTGCTGCTTGCTGCTTTGCTACTTCTTGCCTGCTTTGCCCTGGACTATTTCTCTTCTGCAGTGCCCCTCTGCCATGCCAGACTGCCTTGGAGCCAGCTGACTATGGGCTGAAACCTTTACAAACTGTGAGCTAAATAAACCTTTCCTCCTTTAACTTGTGGCTGTCAGGTATTTTGTCCCAGCAGTGAGAAACATAACTAAGACAACCCACTTTTGGGTTCCCTCTGGACTATTGGGAGCAATTCCTCTCTTAATAAGCACTCCCGTCTACTTCTCTTGTCCTTGACTTCATTCTTTGACTTCGTGAGACATGGACCCAGATTATGCAGTTACACTAGACTAAAATCAAGGCACTGGCTGGGTCATCTGAGGCTCTGAGCCTTTCTAAGATCAGTGGTCATTGTCCAAATTCAGTTACTTGTGTCTGGAAGACTAAGTTCCCCACTTACTTGGTGACTGTCACCCACGTCTGTATCAGCTCTAAGCACTGGTCTTTCCCCACCACACAGCATTTTGCTTCTTCAAGGCAAACAGGACAGAATGTGCCCTGTGCCCTGGCTCCAAATCTCCCAGGCTTATGTATCTGATCTCTGGACCCAGATTTAAAGGCCTTAGAGCAGTAAGGCCCACTCTTGATTAACTCAAAGTTAAATAACTTGAGACTTTAATTACATCTTTCAATATAATGTAATTTAACAGCAGGAGTGCTGCCCTATCATAGTCACAAGTCCTGCTCTCATTTAAGGGAAGAGTCTCATAAAGAGTATCTACACCATGGGGTACAAAACTTGAGATCCATCTTAGAATTCCACCTCTCATCAGCCATAAGAACTGTCTAAATAACCAATAAAGGTATCGATATGGTGTTTTATAACCAATATTGATTGTTTGAAAATGCAGAATGTTCATGGTTGGCCACTAATATAGGCAAGAATATATTCGAGCAGGGGAGATGGTGCCAGGTAGAAAAATCAAACAATGCTAAAAATAAACACCTCCCTTGATTTGACTGTATTTTTAGCCTCCTGTTACAGCCTGCTGAGTAGCTGAGATAACAGGTGCTCCACCACACCCAGATCTTCCCTTGATTTTAAAAGAATTTATCTTGCCTCATATCTTTTGCCTTGGCCTTCAAAGCTGCCTTTGTCTAACATCTATCAATGTGATAACTGCTTTTCCTTCTGACTTCCTTAGGTGGGTCGAGTTTGCTTCTCTCCCCTTCCACGGGTGTAAAATATAACTCTTAACTAGACCTGCCTCCTCCTTTGCCTCTTGTCTAGGCCTGGGCACATGGAGCAATAACCGGTGCATTGGTTTACCAGGAGGGACTGAAGTCCAGCTCCAGTCCTCAGAGCCTAGGACGTAGGTCTGTAGGCTACCAGTAGGAGGTGCGCCCAAGCCTCGGCCCCACATTTTAGTATGTCCTTACTGTGGGACTGCATAACTCTGTAATCATAAAACTCCCCTAGCCCCAACGGTGACTGAATGTGAGTAAATAGATAAAGATGCTTGTTAGTTCCGGGACACTAGATAAGATCTGTATCAGCCATAAGGTCCCAAAGTAAATTACTCAACTCTTTGTTCGAAACTGATGTTCCGGACACCACTATCTATAGAACAATCTACAAACATCTGCTGACCATCAGTACATGTCAGGCTAATTAACATACAAATGTAAGACCACTAACCTTTGTTCCCTCTTCTGTAAATTTCGCCTGTTAACTTCCCTGCAAACCCCTATAAAAGAGCCTCGGACTCTGGGCTGATTGCCTCTCTAAGCTACTCTGCTTTGGGAGTGCCGTCCGGCCAGACTAAGGTCTGTTTTACTTTCCAACTTGTCCGGTGTGTTCCTTCCCAGGTGTTCTTCGCTGCAGTCAGCTCCTCGGAGCGTTTGGTGAGGCCCTCGGTCTTACATTTTGGAGGCAGCGCTGGGATGCCCGGGTGTGCTTCACTGCAGTCAGCTCCTCGGAGCGTTTGGTAAGCCCTTCGGTCTTACACTTACCGCTCTCTCTTTCGACTCATCTCTATGGTTTCCGTTGGGGTTTCGCCCGGAATGGGCGGGGCTTCTGTTTCCGGTGGGATTGTCCCTAGCGGAAGAGATGGCGGCTGCGGCCCCTGGCCCTGGAGAGCCTCGGGAAGATGCTGAAGCGCTGGGCCCCGCCTGGGATGAATCCCAGCTGCGCAGTTATAGCTTCCAGACACGCCCCATTCCGCGTCTGAGCCAGAGCGACCCTCGGGCGGAGGAGCTCATCGAGAACGAGGTGGGGGTGGGGCCGTCCGAAGCGGGCCGCGGGAGGGGCTGGGTTGGAGGCGCGGTCGGAGGCGAAGGGTGGGCAGAGGTGAGGGGAGCCCAGGCGGGGAGGAAGCCGCCGGGGGAGATGAAGAAGGAGGCGAGGAGAGGTGGGACCGGAGGAGGTTGTGCTGCTTGACCGGAGAGATTGTTTTGAAGTTGGGGAATAGTTGGAACCGTGGGCGGAGAACCCAGCTCCTTGGGGTTGTTTCCTTTGCTTTTTCTCACCTGGTGTCTTCGCTTAGGAGCCTGTGGTGCTAACCGACACAAATCTTGTGTACCCTGCCCTAAAATGGGACCTTGAATACCTGCAAGAGAATATTGGGAACGGAGACTTCTCTGTGTACAGTGCCGGCACCCACAAGTTTTTGTACTATGATGAGAAGAAAATGGCTAATTTCCAGAACTTTAAGCCCAGGTCCAACAGGGAGGAAATGAAATTTCATGAGTTTGTCGAGAAACTGCAGGATATACAGCAGCGAGGAGGGGAAGAGAGGTAATTGCCCAGATCTTGGTTTTTCATTGAATTCAGGGCATCCACTTTTTTTTTTTTTTTTTTTTGCTCCTGGGGCTCGAACTCGGGTCCTTGTGCTTTGGAGGCAGGTGGCAGAACCACTGAGCTCAATCCCTGCCTCTAGGGCATCAATTTTTAAGATGTGGGCATTTTGAGTGAGCAGAATTGGTATCCCCCATCTCTGAATAACTGCTGAATGGTCTGCTCTGCTCTGCTCTAACGGGGTTAAGTCTTTGCTTAATTCCATTTTGGAGGGTAGTCAAGGGTTGCTAGGCTTTTCGATTTTCCAAAAGAAGCTCAAGATGAGAAGTTTTATTTAAAATCTTTTGACCTTTATAGGTGGGTACCTATTTTAGATTGGAGGAGGGGTTTGAGACAGGGTCTTGCTATGTAGTTCAGGCTGGACTTGAACTTTCGGCAATCCTCCTGCCTCAGTCTCCTGAGTGTTAGGATCATAAATGTGTGGTCACCTCACCTGGCTCAAATTTTTTTAAAAAGAGCTGGGAAACCAAACAAATGTCTATCATTGAATTTAGCTCTAATATTGGCAGTTTGCAGCCTTTGTCCTAGAATATTTTAGTGGTTGGGGGTAATGTAAATTAAGAAGTTGTCTAGTTTGTTGTGATTTGACTTAAAGGATATTGGAATCTTCTAGTTAGGGAAGATCAGATTAGTTTGGAGGTGGGGCTGTTGGTGTTCTGTGATGTCCTGGTGATAGCAAACACCAGATGCCTTTGGCGGGATGATTCTTCCTTTTTGCTTTTATCCCTGTTTATGAGGTCAGTGCTTGGGTAGGTCCCACCTAGCATTCAGTCCTGCACTGAAATGTTGCCTCTGGAGAATTGCTTTCACTGAATACTTCAGGTTCATGTTTGGGGAGTGTCCTTGATTCTTTCAAAGTTACTTGCAAAATTTTTGTGTAAATATATATATATATATATATATATATATATAAAATAATCTCTAGATAGAGTCCAGCTGTTACATTCAAGTCTTGAGGGTTCCATGTAGCTAGAGTTTCCAATTTAACCAAGATTTCTAGTAATATTACCTAAATTATTATCATTTTAGGCAATGAGATGCCATTGAGCCTTTTGAAGTAAGGTTCTTAGGATTTAGACAGGGCTGTTTTTGTCCCTTGTTCAATTTTGTTAATAATGTCTCTTGGGCTCGATCAAGTGTTTCTGGGTTTTAATATCCCTTAATTAATTTGTGACCATTCTCAACTACATTAGGAGCTGGGGGCATGCACCTAATGAGGTGTCCTTTGGCGGTCAAAGGCTGCTATAGGTAGTTTGCTGTATCCGTTGAGATGAGTGAGGCTTCAACCCAGTAATCATTGGCCTGAAAGAACAAAGGTTTATTTCTCACTCTCACTACAAGTTCTTCATTGGTCATGCCATCTTTTTCATTCTGGGACCTGCATTGCCCTAGTAGCTACTGTCTGGAACATTGCATTTGTTGTGGGATAGGGAAAGATGGGAAATGTCGATTGTTCCTTAAAATTAACAGTTGGAAGCCAGGCACAGTGGCATACACTTGTGACCCCAATTACTTGGGGAGTTTGAGACTGAAAGATTGCAAATTTGAGGGTAGCCTCAACCTAGCAAGACCTTGTCTCAAAATTTTTAAATGGCTGGGGATGTAGCCCAGTGGTAGTATACTTGCCTAGCGTGGGTTCATTCACCAGCATCACACACACAAAAAAGACAGTTGGAAACAGTTCATTTCTGTGGGCATTTCATTGGCCAAAGCAAGTGAGATAAGGAAGCCTGTCTCTAAGCAAGTATGGAAGAATAGCTCTTCCATGGGGCGAGATCAGCTTTGGTGGGTAAATGGGATTCCAGTCTGACAGTGACCATCACAGGAGGTGTGTCAGGCAGCACTTGAGAGTCTGGGGCAAGGCTAATTCATTTTTCTAGGCTTTTTGTGGATAGTCTTCCAGGAAACTATGAAATTGTGTGGAAGTTCTATATGTATGTACACTTTTACGGGGAATTTTGGATTCTTAAAAAAATTCCTGTGACCCAGAAGAATGAGAATCACTTCTTTGAAAGTTTAGTGTTGAGTAGAGTTCAAGGAAGGAAAGATAAGAATTTAGTTCTCAGCTGGACATGGTGGTGCATGCCTGTGATCCCAGCACTCTGGAGCCTGAGGCAGGAGGCCAGCCTGAACTACCTGGCAAGACCTGTCTCAAAAATGGAAAAAAAAAAAATTCACTTCTGAGGTGGGTGTGGTGGTGTGCTCCTATAGTACATGGGAGGCTGAGGTATAAGTTCAGCACTAGCCTGGGCATCACGGTGTGACCCAGTCTCAAACAAGAAAACATCAGTTCTGTGAGAATTCATGTTGGTCAGGGTTTACATGACTAGCTATTTTCTACAGGAGATGCTGGTGTGGATTTCAGTTTGTCTGTCCAGATGTGAGGAGGTCATGCCAGGGGCTATGTGTGCATGCATTGATGGAATTTTCTTCTTGGGGAATGTAGGTTGTATCTACAGCAAACTCTCAATGATACCGTGGGCAGGAAAATTGTCATGGACTTCTTGGGTTTTAATTGGAACTGGATTAATAAGCAACAGGGAAAGCGTGGCTGGGGACAACTGACCTCTAATCTGCTGCTCATTGGCATGGAAGGTAAGAAATCTTTCAGAAAGCAGCATGGCTTGGAGTCATACAAACTTGATTTCCAGTTTTCTCTCCATCACTTGTTAGCTCTATGCCTCTGAATAGGTCACTGGACTTTTCTTAAGTGTTAGCTTCCTCATCTGCAGAAGAGACATAATAATATCTCACAGATAACTATGAGGGTTCAATGAGATGATGTATGTCCAGCTAGTTTCATGCGCTCTGGAAAAGTTCCCTTTTCCCTTTCTCAGCTGCTGTGAAGGTGCGTATGTTGAGATATTGAGGACCTCTCTGAAAGGCTACTGCTCTATTGGATCTGTCTCTGTTGAAAGATTTGCACCCAGATTTTTAAAAAAGGGAAAATCTACTGATTCAGCCTTACCTTTTAAATAGGTAATATATTTATGGGGCTCAAAATTCAAAAGGTATAAATAGGTATGTAGCGGTAAATTTCTTTTCCACCTCTTATCTCCCAGCCTCCTAATTCCCTTCCTTGGAGGGGCTGCATGTTACTGCTTTTTTTTCTTGCTAAAAAGTGTTATGCACGCACAAGCAAATACATGAATCTCCTGGGTTTTGTTTGTTTCCTTTTGAATAAGAAGAAATTTTTAAATTCCATTCAAGAGAAGGAGAACTACTAATGGGGCAGGGTCATTGTCTTATTTTATTTCCAGCACTAGCTCATGCAGGCTCCTGGTAGGTACTTAGTAAATTGTGAATAGATTTGGTTGAACAAGGAAGAAGAGTGATCATTGTCATTCACTACTGAGCTCTAAAATCTCTTTGATTATCCTTTCTTTAGATTTGGATCCTTCACTGCCAGTATTAATAAAGTTCTCTAGCAGTGTAGCTTAGGCGTTCACACTTACTTGCCTCTTTGAAGCCAACTCTTGCTTGGCCTGCCAGGAAGGAGCCAGTTCTGGTTTCCTTGGGCGTTTTTCTGTTGCTTTCCTTTCCTGTAGCAGGGAAGTGGATCCTTCAGGTAAAAGTACAGAGCAGCTCTCTTTTAAAGATGCACATGTACAGACACAGACGTGGCCTCAGTTACACAGAACTGAGGTGAGCATAGAGCTAATTCAAGATAGCATTTAAAGAATGTGTTAAGCTTTTTTGAATTATACAACACTCCCTTTGTAATAAGCTTCTGCCCTAGTGAGAGGCAGCAGCCCCAGTAGTCCCAGTGTTGCTTTGAGAAGTGTTGTATCCCACAGGTGTGGTGAAATGGGAACAAAAATTGAGAGTTTTGGGGCTCTGGAAGAGCTACACAAAACAAGGACATATTCATACAACTTAAAGTGACTGGTTAACTCCTCAGAGAAGATTATGCATGCATTGTTGGTGGTAGTCACTTCAGTCATTTTTGATTTGCTTTCCTTGAATTCTTGCCATAGTCAAGAAAAGTGCAATTTGTATCCATGTTGTGTGCTCTTGGTTTCATTGAGGGCAACAGCCATCGTTTAGGAAAGTCTATTCTTCTTTGCTAGCTGGTCATGGACCCTTTCCAGTGATGGTAGCTATACTTACTGCCCATAAAAACGTAACACGTGGTGTGGTGATACACGCCTGTAACCCCAGCACTCAGGAGGCTAAGGCAGGAAGATCACTGTGAGTTTGAGGCCAGCCTGAACTATTTAGCAAGACCTTGTGTCAAAAAAGAAAAAAAATAACACTTAATTTGCTAAGAGTTGTAATTACATTATCTCTGATTCTGCTTAAATTTGACTTGAAGCCCTTAGCTAGGAGTTTTCCTTTCCAGGACTGTTTAACCTGTGCAGTAGAGCCACTACTTTGGATAAAGAAATGTATTTCTTCCTACAGGAAATGTGACACCCGCTCACTATGATGAACAACAGAACTTCTTTGCTCAGATAAAAGGCCATAAGCGATGCATCTTATTCCCACCGGATCAGTTTGAGTGCCTCTACCCATATCCTGTCCATCACCCATGTGACAGACAGAGCCAGGTGAGCTTTGTGTGGCAGGGGAAGGATGTGGAACTTCAAATTCTAGGAATGCCTTTGAGAGGAGTGGCTGGAATGTTGTTCTCCTGCCCTGTGGTGACAGGCCAGGTTAGATTGCAGTTTGGTTGCCTTATAGGCAAACCTAGAGGATAATTTTGTAGTGTAGGCTTCACATATTGTATGTATAATTTCACATATTCCAGGCTCCTTAAGTGGTCCCCAGTTGTTTTTAAGTATAAACAGCCCATTGAGCTATTTCTCAGAAGCAGACTCTTATCATTAATGCTGATGGACTCAGGTTACTCTGTTTGGTTGGCTTACAGTGTGCTCATGAACAGAATATATATGTCTCCGTTGCATTTAATCATTGCTTTCTTTTGTCATGTATGCTGTTTCTTTTTGATACGGGGAAAGGTAAATAAAAGTGATATACCACTTATATTTTCTGGATTTAAGTGAGGTACTTGGCTGACTTCATGGCCAGCGAGAAACATCTGCTCCTTCCTTGTAGGAATCTGTTGATTAGAATTTGTTTGGGGAGGAAAGTTGCTGAAGGTTTCGGAGATGGATGAGTTCTGATTTCTCCTATCTTCAGGGCATTGAGTAGTCTTCAGATGTCAGGCACACTGAAGCCTTGGACTTTATCATTTAATGCTTAGGCCTGGACTGCCTTATGTTATTCTCCAAGAGAGAAATGTACCTTGCATTTCTCCTGCAGAGCTAAAGATATTTTCAGGCCATATTTAGAATATCAAGGTAACTAGCACGTGGTTGTTTTGGTTGCAGTCTAGTGACTGACTTTTTTCTTTTTCTTGAACCTTGTAGGTGGACTTTGACAATCCTGACTATGAGAGATTCCCCAATTTCCAAAACGTGGTTGGTTATGAAACAGTGGTTGGCCCTGGTGATGTTCTTTACATCCCAATGTACTGGTGAGGAAGAGGCTAGGGATTGGGCCCTCTGGGAACTTTCTTTCTCATTCCCTGGAAAGCTTTATCCATGTCCCTTCTGAGTTGTGGCAAGATTGTTATCGTGTACGGGAAGGTTAACATTCAGATGTCAGCATGCTGACTGGGGAAAGAAAGGAGGACGGTTCCTCAAACCCAGTAAGATCCCAGAGACCTGTGGCTGTCCTCGCCTTTTGGTATTTGAAAACTGAACTTTGCTGCCTGTAGCCCAGTGATGGATGAGCATAGTGATTCTGTCTTCACTGTTTCCCTTTACTCTGCTCTGCTTAGTTTTCCACTCCTCCCTATGAAAAGTAACCCGGAGCCTGTTGTTTCCTTGCAGGTGGCATCACATAGAGTCTTTGCTAAATGGGGGGATCACCATCACTGTGAACTTCTGGTATAAGGTGAGTATATTCTCTTGTTTATTTGATGGAACTGGGGCTGGGGTGCGGTAAATGGAATGAATGATTTTGGCTGGATCAGGGTAATTGGCCATCCCTGGAATTGATTCTGAGGTCTGTGGGGGAAGATGAAGAAGGAAAGGATTGAATCAGTTTCTTAGAAAGGAGAATGCTACTAGGAGCACTGGGCCGACACTGAAATGCTAAAGGCATTTCCTGACCTTCTGCTTCCTTTGTAGGGGGCTCCCACCCCTAAGAGAATTGAATATCCTCTCAAAGCTCATCAGAAAGTGGCCATTATGAGAAATATTGAGAAGATGCTTGGAGAGGCCTTAGGGAACCCACAAGAGGTGAGTCAGACTTGGTGTGGCATCCTTCTTAACTCCTTTGTCTCCTTTGTCTCCATAGAGGTTATGGGTATGTTTAGAGAATCCTTGTTTTTCTGGTGAGAGCTGGGCTTGACTGGTGGATCAGTTAGAATCTGTTCCATGCTGGTAGTAATGTTCCCCACGGGGCCTGTGTGCCAGCTGGGGACTCCTGAGGGGATTCTTTTGGAACAGGAAGCATGCAGTAAAGTGTCTCCTTGTGTTCTCTCTCTCAGCTGGGCCAAGGCTGCTCTAGGTAGTGTTGAGACCTGCTTCCCACGCAGATGTACCACTAATCCATTGGGTAAATGGGAGAGGTTTGTATTTGAAATGTTTTTGCTTCCTCCTTGATAGCCTCAGCATCCGCAGGTGCCTCTGAGGTTGGGAAGTGGCACCAGGCCCAATTGCACGTGGCCTTTTGTTGAGGCTGTAGGAGCATTTGACATTGCTCAGGGACATTGGAGAAACATGCAGACACACACTCTCGGGGGTGAGGGCTTCTCAGCTCCGCTGACCTCCTGTCTCTTTGGTGCTACTTGCAGATAGAGGGTATTGTGAGAGTGAAGGTAGCACAACATGTAACCACCACCGCCCCCCTGCTCCAGAATACTAGGTTGCCCTTCAGGAAGAATATTGATTAGAGGGTTCACAAGATTGAATGAACGCTTTGTCCTTGTCCTTGGCTGGACATTGAATATCTCTAGGTACATCAGGTTCAATTCTGGGACAGGGAACAGCAGTTCTGACTGGCTCCTCATGTCTCTACAGGTGGGGCCCTTGTTGAACACAATGATCAAGGGCCGATACAACTAGCCTGCCAGGGGTCAAAGCCACCTGCTGTCCCGTCCACACGACTTCGTTGATGAGGACAGGAGACTCCAAGCACTAGTACTGCACGCTGCACTTAATGGACTGGACTCTTGCCAAGGCCCTGAGGCAGGTGTTTGGGGCAAGGCAGAGTGGTTACACTCTGCTGCCATTCAGAGGGACTTCTCATCCTTGCCTCTTGTGCCCCAGCACCTTCCCTCTCTGCCCTCTGAAGTCCTGCATTCAGTGTGTGGAGTCCCAGCTTCTGATTGTCATCATGTCCGTGTGTGTTAGTCTTGTCAACCTTGGGATGTGTGTGCATGCACACACGTGTATCTATCTGTTCCTTGTTCTCTCCTGGATCAGGGAATCACTTCTGGCTGTTTGTCCTGTCTCCTGCAACCTCGGTGCCTCAGCCTGAGAGAGCGGAGATGTTCTTGGACCCCCCACTACATCTGGGCTGCAGGGCCACAGCAAAAGTCTAACCATTAGGTCAGTGTGCCCTCCGCCATTTTCCGAAGAGCCAGGCTGCAGGCCAGGTGGAAATGGCTCCTGGGACCCTAATGGCCAGATTGCAGGGCCTTGCCATTGAGAGCCGAGATGGCTTCCAGTGAGAGAGGATCAGATAGGGTTCCGTCTGGGACCTACAAGCTCAAGCCATCCATAGAAAGGAACCTTGGAGCGAACGAACCAAGGAGTGGCATACATTCCAGATTACAGAAACACAGCTTTTCTCTTTCAGTAGCAGCTCTTGCCCGTGTACTAGGTATCAAGGGAGTTCTCCTAGCTGTGGCTCCCGGGGCTCGGAGTGCAAGCCTCTGTGCCAGCGTGCACTTGTATGTGTGTGTCCACACCGGCCAGCCTCCCTGCTTACCAGGATTCTCCACTGCTTGCCTTGTCTACTGTGACAGTGTAGTGTGAGCCCCTGGAGGTACTGGCTGACTTATCCTACAGCTTTTTAACTCAGATTTTAGTCGTCATATGTTGGTCAGGTCTCAGTGCAGCCTGCCTAAGGCTGTCTGGCTAGAGCCTCCAGGCCCTATGCCCTCCTGTCTGGGCCACGTCCTCTACTCCTGCTGAGCTTGTTGGCTGAGTAGATGAAATGGGGTCAGGCTTAGGCAGCTAACACTACTTTGCATCCACCTCAGGGCAAGGGCAAAGGTGTAGCCCTGCCTCTTAAAGCCAGCGCCTCTGCCAGAAGCCACGCGCCACCCTTGAGGGCAGCTGGTAGGACATGAAAGTAGAATTTTCTCTTCTGTTAGTAACTGCTGATGGGAACCCCTCAGGGCTCAGCTTAGAGCTGAGCAGGTGGCTTTTGCACAGCACAAAGAGACATCTTTCACATCTAGTCGGTAGGAGTGGGCCTTTGGAGTTGGGCAGAGCGGTGGCCATGAATCTACTCACTTCCAGTCCCGCCATCATCCTTTTCTCTGGAAGGGAAGAGGAAGTTGGAAATCTCTGGTTTTATTTTCATCCACTTTTCTTTTTTTTTTTGCCAAAGGTTTACTTCTAATGTCTGAGCTATTGCTCTCACTCCTAAAGTTCAGTTTACAGTGCCCTGGTGGACTGAGATCTGTATGTATATGTGTATGCACCTATGTATGTGTTTTGGGGAGGGGGGTTTGTTTAATGCCCCCTTCTGGGGTTCTCTGGTGCAGTGTGGGTGTGCAGACATGGCACCTTCTCAAGCATGGCTCTTGCAAATACAGCCAGTGCTGAGAAATGTGATTGCAGTGAACTCCATGCCTCCATCTCTTTTGGAAAAGAGAAGCACAGCAAAGAGAACAAGGCAGATGGAGGATGAACTTGGCCACAGTGACCCTTGGAGAGAGCAGATACTTTCATTCTCAGCGTGTCGTCTGTGCTCCTGGCTCCACCCTCCAAGGTGCGGGTGTTTGGCAGCAAGGAGTTGGGTGCCACTGGTTGATCCTTCCAGGGTGCTGTGGCTCAGGGGAGGCAGGGGGGAGGCTAACCGGGACCGCCTCAGAACTGGCCCTGACCCTAGAGTTTTAGGTGCCTGCAAAGTAGGTATTGTGAATTTACAGAGGAAGACGCATGCTCACAGAGATTAAGTGATTAGTCAAGATTCAAATCTAGCGCTGTTTGGCTGCAAACCCCCCACTTCTGCCTTTCAACCAAACTGTTGGTTCTCCTACTTCCCTCCCTCATACCACAGGTCCTCTCCTTGGCACAGTGTCTGCAGGGAGTCAGCCCAGGAGGATGCGGAAGGCCTAGCTTCAGTTTACAGCCCTGGGCTCTAGCTAAAGACATGTGGGAAGCTGTATTAGGAGTTAAGAGTGCTGGGGGAGGCTGGGGGACTGAACTCTAGATCCTGTCACATGACTGTGTGCCCTTTAATAGGTCTCATAGTTCTCCCAGCATTCTTGTTCATCATAAAATTGAAGCTTTAGTTCTAGATGAGTGCTGAGAGGCTTTTTTGTTTTTGTTTGTTTGAGACAGAGTCTCACTTCGAAGCCCAGGCTGCCCTCAAATTCGAAGCAGTCCTGCCTCAGCCTCCTGAATGCTGGGATTACAGGAGTGGCCCCCCTTACCCAGCTTGCTAAGAGTTGGTTTTTTTTAACTCACTGTGTACTTTAGGCTGGCCTCGGACTCAAGGCAATCCTGCCTCAACCAAGTGGTGGGTGTTACAGGTGTGTGCCACCCCGCCCAGCAAGAGTCTTGATTATTGGTCTGCTGCCACTTCCCCCAGGAGAGAGTTGGCAGTCCTCCCTTTGCTTCTCTAAGGGTAAGGACTGTTGAGGCTCAAATTCTGCTTGTGGTAGAGCAGAAGTTGCTGGTAGCTTGCTTACCCCATATCCTAGCTGACGGCGAGTGCAGCAGATACACCAAGGCAAAATGGGAACTTGGGCCTGCCTAGAGGTCAGCCATGTTGCACGCTTCTATTTTCACACCCCAGGTACAGAGGAAACTTACTTTGTGAAGTCAAATATTTGTTTGGGAGATGGGGTCAGAGGTAGAGGAGGGGCTGTTCTGGGCATCAGTTGAGCAGATGCCCAGGATGCCTGGGGGAGACCAGCTTCCCCTACAAATCAGAGCTCTAAATTACAAGGTTTTTACCAACGGGAACAGTTGGGGGAAGTCGTCTGCTCTCATTTGCGTAATGGTTTCTGTCACTGGTGATTAGACACAGGATGAAGGAAAAGAAATTTGACAATTAGGAATGAGCAATCATTAATCTGAATCTGTTAGGAGATGGGGGAAAGGATTCTTAACGATGGCCCAGACCAGTATGTGGAGACATTGCTTCTGCTCCCCAGAGACACCTGGGCAAAATACCCTTTTAGTGTTTCCACAAGTGGGAAGAGCTTTTATAGCCAAACAAAGACAAGTCCCCAGCCTGAGGTAGGTACAGGAACAGACGTCTTTGAGCATGAGCCAACAAAGATAAGAGATGGATGATGTCAAATTTACAACCCTTAGGACAAAGAATAATGAGAGTTTTGACATGTGTCTGTTGTTTGGGGAAATGTTTCTTTAATAGTCAACACTCTTGATCCCGCAATTGTGCTAAGTCTTTGTCATGTTCCATCACTAGGGTGTGAGGGAAACCCGGTTGTCATCAGACCCCGTGAGCTTCCAATTGGCTGGGAAGGAAAGCATGGCAGAGCAGGGGTGGGACTGGGACCCACCCTCTGTATGCTGAGTACCCTGCGTGCACAAGGTCGGGGGTCATTGAGGAGGTCGAGTAGAGAGCACCACTTGCTCTTCTAGGCTGCTCTGAGCCCTTGGCTCTCCAGGGAGGGACTAGTCTCCCCAAGCCCACCAGCAGTGAGTCTTTGTTGTTTTTTGCTTTTCTACATCAGCACGTTAGTGACTGTGCACAGCATTGAAGCCCTTGGCCCAGACATGACCCAGCGCTGAGGTTAGCTGAGAGGCTGAGTCTCAAGGCATGGAGTATTCTGACTGGGATCTTCCTGTGTTTCTGAGTCACTGCCTCTTTCCCGTCTCCCCCTTCAGGCTTTCCAAGGACAGTATTAACTTGCACCAAGCGGCATTGGTGCCTTAGTTTTGAGTCTTATTTATAGAAGGTTCCTTACATCAAGGGGCTCCTCAAGAACAGGGAGGGCTTAGTGCTGGCTCTTTCAGAATGTGAGTTTCTCAAGAATGGGGCTGTCTCCCCTCAGTATGTTCCCTACCTCTGGGTATTTTACCCTCAAGATTCTGGCACGGAATTTAGCAAAGGCTCCAGGCAATGACCCTTAGTGACCAGTTTTCCCGAGGTGGGCTAGATAGTGGAATTTACCTGGAAATAAGTAGCTTATGAGGTTCCTGAGGCCCTGCCCTCTGAATGCATGTCCTCCCCTTTGAGCCCTTTAGCTGCTAGTTCTCTGGTCCCTCCCACTTCTCTTGGTGTTCTCTCACTTCCTGCTCTAATGGGATGTTCAGCTTCCCTTTCTAGCACTTCGCTGAGTTTCTCATTAGCTTTCCCCAGCCTGGGCTTTCCAGTGGTCCCTGCACCAAGGCCTTTTTGCTCAGCAGTTGCCCTTCCCTCAGATGGACAGATTCCCTGTAGGAGCCCCTCCCTGCCGTCACCCTTGTTCACCTTCTGTTTCTGACCTCAGGAAGCTCTGTTGTACTCCTAGTCAGTCCTGTTCTGCCTGCTCTGCTCCCTGGCCATTCCCGTCAGACGTCTTGGATCAGCTTGTTCGCTCTGGTGGCCCTTTTGATTGTCCTTTAGTTTACTCCTCATAGGCCATGGGGTCCTGCCGAGCACAGACAAGCAGCCTCTGGGCTGGTGGGCCTATGATCAGTGAGTTAGAGAAGAAACCTAGAGAATAATAGGGAACCAGGGTCTGGGGAGTAGAAAGTTGGTCAGAAGACTACAAATGGTGCAAGGTTTGATGAACCAGGGTAGAAGAACTGCAATTTATGTTCCTATCTGTGTGCCTTAGGGTCCGGTGATTTATGGTTGAAAGGCATCTTGTGACCGTCTAATTTCTCTCAGGTCTTTGGCTCGATGTCCCCAAGCTTGTCTGATCCCCTGGGTCTATTAAGTGCCAGAAGGGAAAGCACACACTGAGTAGTCTGGTGTCAGGAGTGGAGGTTGGGATGAGGGGGCTCTGGAGGGTGGGACAGGAGAAAGGGGCCCGGTGGTTGGCTTGTGCCAGACTGTGTTCTCCAGGAGTCTGAGTGCAAGAAACCCTAAAATGGCCCCTTACCCCTAACATCTGGTTTCTGGTAGTTTGGGAAAGAAGATGTGTCCTTTAGCTCTCTATAGAAAACAGTCTAGTGTAGGGTCTTAAAGCATGGATTTTAGAGGTAAATATCAGTCTGGATTTCTATCTTTGCCACTTCTAATTGGGTTTGACCTATGTTGATTTACTTCACCTGTCTGAGTTTTCTCAACTAAATGATATGTAGGGCTGGGGACAGTGATGTTGAAACTACCTCAGGCTTGGGTTAATGGAAACAGTGTGTAAAGCTCTAGCACAGTGCCTGGCAGGCACTTAATAAATGACTGTGGTGGGGGTGGTGGTTATGTTTATTATGTGACTTGGAAACTTGGCTTCAATGATGTCTAAACAGATTTCCAGTGATTCTTTGCCTTTAGAGAACAGCACTGGGAAGAACAAGAAGAAAGGTCCGTAAGAGACATCTATGGAGTTGGAAGCAGACAAAAGAGTTTCGGTTCCTACACTTCGTCCAGAGGAGTGTCTGATGCCTCTTCTACCTGGTTAGGCAGATTCTTACTGTCGCAGCATCCTGGCCCCTGGCAAGGAGCTATCACTGAGTGACAGGCTGATCCCCTTTCTTCCTCACTCCAAGAGATCCTAGGCTCAGTTCCTGGGCAGGGCCCGGTGTGAGCTTCAGCTTCTGCTTTTGGTACCAGGCCTCACCTCTTCTCAGGGACCTCAGACTCACAAGAGCCCCATCTCCACTGCTGTCACTGGGGAACAATCTTTCAAAAGCCCTTTGGAAGAGACGGTATGGCAGGGGCCAGGGGTTTAGCTCAGTGGCGCTGTGCTTGCCTGGCTTGCAAGTGCAAGGTCCTGAGTTCGATCTCCGGTACCAGAGAAAAAAGTATGGCAGTCAGATCAAGCCCCTTAGTTTGCTTGTAGTCCACACTCCTTGATCTGTTAAGTTACAAGTCTATTTAGGTTGATCCAGAACAGAGGGGCATTCAGAAGAGAATTCAGAAAAATACGAGTGAGATAATTAGTAGCTACTATCTCGTGTGTGTTTCTGTTCCAGGAGTAATGCTAGTTCTTTCCCTGGGTGCTGTCAATTCAGCAGGGGAGTCAGCAAGCAGGAGAGTTCAGGGTGCACCAAAGAGAAGCATGTGACCCACCTCAGTGTTCATGGGAGCCCTGCAGGAGGTGACAGTCTGAGTTGGGGTCTGGAAATTGTATAGTTGTTACTTGGATTGGGGAGAAGCAAAAAGTTGCTCCTCTGGCTTCTCTTTCTCCTGGTCCAAAGATAAAGACTGTTCCGTGTTTAAGGGTCCTGTGAGTTACTCCAGGGAAAGGGCCAGATGATAGATCCCAAAAAGAAGTCATTAGTCCCAGCAATCTTTGAAAATCAGTTTGGTTGCTAACCCACATTTACCCTGGAGTGCAGATAGATCGCTCATTTGTAGCCACTCCACTGTGCTTGGCATTCTGGTCTCTGGACCAGACCCTGTTGGAAGAGACTGAATCGAGTTACTCAGACTTCAGCCTGAAGCACCTTCTGCCTGGCTGGGATTTTCAGTAGCCTTTGACCCCCGATGTTAGAAGGTATCTCACCTCCAGCCACCTCCCCTTGTCTCCACTCGGAGCCAAGCCTCTCTGCAGTGCCCCTGTGTAGCCCCTCTGGTGCCCCTAGTGCTGTCCCTGGGGTGAAGAAGATGCCTTGGGCTAAGCCATCCTTCAGCTGCAGGCCACTAGAGTCACTGTGCCCTCACCTTTGTTTCTAGACAGCTGGTTCTGGGCCTTAGGTGTCTACTGTTCGGGCCTTGCCAGTTGTGCTGTTTCACTGTGTTTGCTTAAGACCTATTCACCTCGTCATTACAGTCTATCCTGTTTGGTCCTTAATGAAATCTGATGTACATCTGGCAGTTTTTATTCTCTCTGGAATATAGCATATAGTGCATTGTGGGTAGTGATTGAGGATGCTTTACACACTAGATGTGCCATTCTGTGTGGCCTCGAGAAAAAGACAAAACTGCTTGAAACTCAGGTTCCTGTGCATGGGGATAACATTACTCTCACCTTGTTAGGGTTACATGAATTTATGTGAGGTCATAGCAAGCTGTCATCCTTAGCTTCTGGAGGCCTCAGGCTGCCTTCTTACAGTCTGCTTTATCCAGCTTTTTTTTTTTTTTTTGAGGCAGAGTCTCAATATGTAGTCCAGGCTGGCCTTAAACTCAGTATGAAGGCCAGGCTGGCCTCCCATCAAGCTTTTTGACAGAGGCCCTGTGTCCAATCTCAGGACCTATCTCGTCAACTCCTGAGCAGGGTGCAGATACAAGCATCAGTTCTTTGTGCTAGCATTCCGTAGTCCTTCTCATTGACCTTAGACTTTCAAAGCACCCTGTCACCACTGTCATTGATAGATGGTCTCCCCAAATTCTTTTAATATGAAAAATACTTCACACTGCAAACAAAAGACATCAGGACTTGCCCCCAAGGGGATAAGAGAAGAGGTCTCAGAAGAGGCACTGATTTGTGCAGTCAGGGAGTGGTAGAGGGCAGGCAGGGGATCCTGGGCTGTGTGCAGCATGTGTAGTGGACAGGGACGCGGGAGAAGATGGGCACAGGCTGCCCTGCTGGTCTAGAGGCAGACGACCGTAGGGTTGAAAAGGCCACCTCCTTCCACTTTTGTGTCGCACTCTTCTGGGGGTTGGGGTTGAGACACGGTCTCATCATCAGGCTGACCTTGAACTTACCATGTAGCCCAGGCGGGCCTCAGCCTCCCGGCTGCTGAGGTTACTGAGGTTCCAAGCATGTGCTGCCGTGCCCAGCTGAGCTTGCACTCTTGGCCGTGTTACTTGAGCAAAGCCCCAGCAACTCTAGTGGGCAAGGCTGTGTTCTCATGAGGACTTGTGTGATGCATTGCCCAGAATGGAGCTTGGAGGTGGTTCTGAGGCTTGAGTTCTCCCTTGCCACTCCTAACTCTGCAGCCCTAGGTAACCACCTGCAGGGCCCTCAGCCTCTGCCCCTGTGGGAAGTAGGAAGTCCTGTGTGTCCTGCAGCATTGTTAGGAGGTTTTCTGAGAACGTTTCTGAAACCCCAGCTCAGAGTTGGTGTTCAGGACACAGGGTTAGTACGAATATTGCCTAAGAACAGTGTTTTATACTGGTAGCAGGGCTTTTCTGACTCTACTCTGAGTCAAGCTACCATGGAATAACAGAAAAGGTGAGTATGGGTAGGGGAAGCAAAATGGAAAGAAAAGGGTGGAAGGGACTGCAAGTCCACGAAGGGCAGAGTTAGGAATAAAGATGGTTTTGCTGCAGCAGGATCTCGAAGAATAAGAAGAAAGACCTAGACTCTGGGTTGCTGTCTCTTCCTCAGAACAGAGGAAATGAAGCAGGAGGGTAAATGCAGAACATAGCTGCCGAGTAGAAAGAACACGGTGAGTGCCAGGGAACCTAAGTGTGGAATGTACTTCTCGAGGACTGTGTGACTTAGGCATGTTAGTCTTGCTGTGTCACAGTCCCCTCCTGTTTGTATGTGTATATGGTTTTTGGTTTTGTTTTTTGAGACTGGGTCTTGCTGTGTAAGTCAGGCTGGTCTTGAACTCACTATGTAGCCCAGGCTGGTCTCAAACTTACGGAAATCCTCTTGCCTTAGCCTCGCAAGTGCTGAGATTATAGGTGTGCTTCACCATGCCTAGCTGTCCTCATCATTAATGTTGGTTAGTAATACTCCTCCCTTCCCGGGTTGGTGGGACAATATATGTGAAAGTGCTGCATTAACTAAGCATTGAATACATGTCAGTGGTTGGGTGTTACTGGGAGAACTTTTCCAGAGGTGGGTACAGAAGTTCCAAAGTTTCCATGCAAGAGCCTCCTTGGTCCTAGAAATCACTGAAGCAGCATTTTCCTTAAAACACTCACTGTGCCAAAATTTGACTAGTAAGGATGTTGATGTAGGAAGGAAAAGCAGTATGGCGAGCAAGAGTAGCTTTCAAAGTTATATGGACTAGTCTGTCTTCCCCCACCCCGCCCCCAGTTAACTACTCTTAGTGACATAAATCCTGGGTGTATTTGTGATGGGATTAAGACAGTGTAGGTCCTGCCATGGGTTAGTGGGGTCAAGCCTACCTCCACTTGTTGAGGGCTCCACAAGTGCATGTTGTTTCTGTGCTTGATACTCAGTTTCAGGGCTGGTTGTGGCCTCATGGCTGGACAAAGATCAGCAAATTCCTTTGCTTTGGTTGAGACATTGAAGATAATGTTAGGCTACCAACTCCTGTTTCAGTGACCTGACACAGCAACTTACATCCTTAAGCATGGAAATAATCTCTGGCTAGCCTATGTATTGGTCATGAACTAATCCAGTCTTGGGTCATGAGTTGGAGCAAAATATTCTGAGATATAGTGAACAGTGACTTCTTCCAGCTGCTCAGGAGTCATTTCTGCACTTGGTTCTGTATGTGTCTCGGTGCTCTCAGCAGTGCTCTGGTGAGTTCAGCACCAGCAACACGGCTTCTTCACTGTCTGCATTGATGTTTTGTAGATCTCATGGGTCATGGTATATGCCCGTGTTGGATGAACAGTCTTAGCCTTGCAAGGCTGTGTGTCAACAACTAGAGCACCTTGAGCTTGATGGGTTGGTGGAGGTGTAGGCCCAGATGGTCAGGGCATTTTGGGTGATGTGGTAGGGTCTCCAGGCTGGGCTGACTTCATGTGATCAGAATATTGGAGAATGTTATTTTTTGGACTCACTGGTATGAGGACTCAGCAGTGGACTCAAGAGCTGTAGCACCCAGAGAAGTGCAGTGGTATCGCCTGACTTAGGCTGTGACTGGAGTGTTGCCTTAATGTCCTTTGTGACTTGATAGATGTCCTCAATCGCTGCCTCGTCTTCCCAGCTCATCATCATCTTCAGAGAGACTGTCCTCTGTTTCCTGCTCAGGTAGATTTGAAAGTGAGTCCTTGGTTGGTTGGTAGTCTCTAAAGGAGAGTATTTCTGTGCATTGGCAACCTTACAAAGATGTGACAGCTTTGCTGGTACTAAATCTTGGCTTCAACTTGAGCACCTTGAGGAATGGAAACACATTTTCACCGTGATACTCAGTAACCTCCTGCTCAGTTACACACACGAGGCCAGTCTCGGCTGACTCCTGGCAGAATAGCAGATCCAGACACTTTCATCAGTTAAGCCTTTCATGATAAGATATGGAGTCATCTCAGAATATGTTGGAAAAGCTTGAATCAGCTGATGAAGACCTGCCCAGTGGCTCCAAGGAATGAGTGGACTTTCAGATCACAGCTCCGTATAGAAAGCCATGTCACTGCCTCCTTGAAGTCCAGATCTTTACCAAGGTCAGTCGCAGGAGCCAGTGTTGCAGGTTTGACTGCAGTGAATCGTGCGATAACCCTTTTTTGTCACTGTGCCATTGAACTTCAAGAAAGTTTTCGTACAAGATAGGAGACCAGAGTAAATGTTAACTTACTGACCTTGTGCTTGGCTTCAGACATGACTCATACACCTGCTTTCCATGGCATCATAGTATCTGCCTCTGTGGGGACACCTCATTGTGGTTGTAGCTTTTGAACTCAGGTACTATCTTGTGTATTCCAGGAAACATTGCTGTCAACATGTTGAGGCTCACGGTGGTTCTGCCTCATGTCAAGCTTTTGGCTGTTGGCATCTTGAGGAAGGTAAAGCCTGCTGCTTTGAAGGCAGACTATGGTGGTAGAAGCACAGTGTCCCCTTCGGTTTGTCCTATCTCTAAAGACAACAGCACTATAGAAGTGCTTGTTCTTGTTCCCTGAACTAGGTTTGAATCTTGGTTTCACCTTTCCCTGACAATGAGACTGTTAGATTCCTACTTACAGTCTCAGGTCGGATTTCCTGACAGGTGGAATCACAGGGCCATTGGATATGGAAAGGACAGCTCAGTGAAAGTTAACTCAGTGCCCAATACCCACTAAGTGCTTGGTAAATGTTAGTTCCCTTTCTTCCAAGTCTTTCTCCTTAGGAAGCATCCAATTCACCCAGCATGAAAAAGAGGACTCAGGTGTCTGCCTCAGTGTGAACAATGCCAAGTTTCCCTTCTTTTCCAGGGGGACATCAGTGGAGGCAGGACTCTACAGTATGGGACACGGAATGTGGTCCTCTGTCCATCTAATCGTGAGTGTGGGGCTGAGGTGGAGCAGTAGTCTCAAGTATTGTAGGGAAATGTCAGACTAGAACAGGGCACTAAATTAAGGTCCACATCACCTTAGGAACAGTGACCACAGGCCAGGGTTGTAAAAACTCCTACATTCAGTCAAGTATCATCTTAAAACATCAAAGTGGTGGTCCTCTTAGAAAGAAAGGAAAAACGGGAAAAAAGTGTTAATTATTTTCAGAGCCAAGGAAATATACCACCCAGTCCAGGTTATGACACATTGAATGGGGTTCTAGACGTGTGTGACGAAGTACAGTTAGGTGCTGGAGAACATCAGCTCAGGATACAAGATGACAAACCACCTCCTCATGTAACAGAAGCCCTGCGGTAGGGCTTTGAAGGCCATCAATAGGGGTTGCTGGGTCCCTTTTAGAATCCAGTCAGTGGCCTAACCAGTGTTTCTGGTTGCTTTTTAACCTCAGCCACCTGAGAAGGTAACCCAAAGTAGATAGGGTTACATCAGTTATTTTCTTGATAAGCATCTTTTAATTATGGAGACCTTAGAACAAAGGATAGCCATGTTTAGGAACATCAAACCCATACCATTAGTGTTTGCTTTAAGGAATCTATGCAATTTGTATTTTAAGTCCTTGACATATGGAAGATAATTTGTTAGAGTGACAGGTTTGCTTTGTAATGGCAATTAAAAAGTGTTGGATATTTATACTTGAATTTTATGTCAAAAGCTTGCTAAGGTTTTTTTTGGGGGGGGGGTTGTTTTCTGTGGGGGTTTTTGGTACCAGGGATCGGGATTGAACTCAGGACCTTGTGCTTGCAAGGCAGGCAGTGGCACCACTGAGCTAAATCCCTGACCCAAAGCTTGTTAAGTTTTTATGTAGTTTTGGAACCTTTACAATGATTTATGATTTGCTGTATTTATAAAATAATTTATTGGAGATAGAATTACATACTTAGGAAATATGTTTTGGTCAGATAAATGAAGTACTTAAATATATTAACCTTATAAATTCCATTTAAGTGTTTAAAGGAGTTTAAATATAATAAATCAAATATTAAATCAAACTTCTTTGTTTTATAAACAAAACAGTAAGATTTGTAAGCCAAATTTAAGAGCTTAGAAAAGACCTAGGATTTTGGATTTGTAACTTCAAAAAGTTGAATATGTGGAATTTCCGAGTGATTGTTTCAGTGGAACACAGAGTCGCCCTCAGGGATCAAAACACTCACAGAGAAGCTTCTAACCTAAGTCACCCAGTCTTTCCAAGTACCTGGCGACTGACCGCCAGCAGTTAAAAATAACTACTGGCTGATCAGGTTAGAGTCACAGATAGGTTTTTGTTTGCCCAATAACTGTCTTAGGAAGTTTTGGGTTTTTGTTTTGTTTTGTTTTGGGGTTTTTTTTAAAGTTTTTTTAAATTAATTGACAATGTTAAAGGTCAAACTTTCCCATCTAAAGAGATTTCTGACTCCACTGGGAAGTCAGGAGATCTGGCAGCATTGAAGTCACATTTCCCATATGACAGTTGGCTGTTCGTGCTGCTCTTTCCAGTTGGTCACAGTCTTCAGTCCTCATTTTTGGACCTACACCTGATTTGTCTCAGTGACCTGGTGACACACACAGGTGTTTGAGTGTGTGACCTCTGAAGTTAGCTTCTCTGGGATTCCTAATGGCTGATGCTGTGTACCTAGGATAAGGGTTCAGGGAAAGTGCTGGGCCTGCCCTCTCTGCTCTCAACATCCCCACTCCAGGTAGACTGTTTTTCAGTCTGACCTGGTTCCAGAACTGCTTCCAGGCCCTGTGTTCGGAAAACGTGAGTTCTCAGGCTCAGACCAGTGAAGGTTTCTGCTCTCGTCCACACAGCTTGCCTGAACCCTAACTTCATCCTCAGTTCCTGTGAGCTTCCCAGTGACCACAGCCTGATTCTGGTCTGTGGGGTCCCGGATCTTGCTCTGTAGCGTGTGCATGCCCAGTCTGTCTGGGCCAGGTGTAAATCTGCCCCACCTCCACCAACAGTGCCCACTGCCTGGGTAGTGTGGTGACAAAGATGAGGGGTGGAAACCAGATTACTGAAGGTTTGGGAGACATGGGAAGTGAGTTTGAAGTGTTTGGGAGAGTGTTCGCAAGAGAAGGATGAAGGCCGACTTTAGAAGGTAAGGGGCGCACTACACAACTGGAGGCCTGAAGTCAGCAGGAGGTAGAATTTCAGAAGTTTCGGTGGAGCCACAGATTGATAGGGTATGGACTAGCAAAGATAGTCCATCAGAAACATCACCTTAAGTCATGCAGGAGGGGCACCACTGGAAGTCTGCAGTCCCCTGAAGTTAGGATTGAACACATAATGCTGGAGGTTTCTAGGGCAGAAAGTGTGTGGAGTCACAGCCTCAGGCAAGAGAAACTTCCAGCAACCCAGCAGACAGAGCCCCTCATGATACCTGTAAATGTGGCACAAACATGTGAACCAAATGGCTCCAAAGCTTGAAGAGCCAGACCGAGTGAGGGTTGATGATTGGTCCATGTCTGCCTAGATGAGAGAAGTCTCCGGAAGTATGCCCTAGGGCTCAGTTTGGGCCCTGTCCTGGCATTTCTGTTGACAGCTGAAGGAGGCAGCGGGCTTATCAAGTTTGCAGGTGATAGAGTTAGGAGGGGCAGTTAATACTTGGCATGAAAGAGTCAGGATTCAAAATGATTTCAACAGGCTGGAACACTGGGCTGGAACCAACAAGATTAAATTTAACAGGGATAAATGTAGAGTCCTACACTTAGGTTAAAACAAAATCAATGACATAAGTATGGGGTGGGGGCCAGTGGGCCTGGCTTGACAGCAGCTCATGCAGAAAAGACCTGGGGTTTTGTTGCCTGCAGACTCTGTGAGTCAGCTGTGTGATGTGACTGCTAAGCCCAGTACAGCCTCGTGTGGCGTTGACCCAGAGCAGCCAGACCAAGGGAGGAGGCTGCCTCACTGATTCCTTAAGTGCTCAGGCTGCCTGTGGAGTACGGGTCCAGTTCTGAGCGTTTCTGTGTTTGTTTTTAGGCTTAGTAATGACGTAATATAATAGGCAATCAGCACGGCAATAAGTATGAAAACTATCAGGCATTTGCCAGAGGTCTAGGGTGTTGAGATTTCTGGAATGAAGGCTTGGGGGCGAGGTATAATCTGACCTTAGGCAGGGGTGGTGTATGTGAAGCACTTTTAAGGGATTTTAAGAGAAATCCAGGAATCTCCATTCTCTCGGTTCCTGTGGATGCCCAGAGACATGGGCCTATGAATCCTATTCCTGGCCCTTCTGAGGTCAGTGATTGGGGATTCGGTAAAAGTGGTCTAGGATGAGGGTCAGCGTGGTAGTGGGGAGAAAATGGGGAGGTTAGGTGGAAGGGAACCTGAACCTGTGTCCTTCAATATGCTGTCCCCTGGGACGTGCTGCCCTGCCATGGCCACAGCGTGGCGCCCTCACTCCACATAGGGATCCTGAGCCCCTGACGGTGGGATGGTGGCCAGGCTTGCTGCTGCACTTGCTGCACTGCCCACTTCCGGAAGCCTGCTCCACACTCGGGGCCAGCCAAGGAGTCCTGGCAGGCAAGAAGACTAAAGAATGAGGTGGCCAAGTTCACAGGGTTGCTGGGAGTGAAGGGCGATGATTCTGAGTTGTTTGCAGGCGTCAAGAAGCAGGCTGGAAATGCATGTTCTGGCCCACCAGGAGAATCATTTTGTTCTGAGTGGGGCCCAGGAATTATTTTAATCAGTTTCCTGGGGCATCCTGTGTCCAAGACCCTGAGGCACTTTGAGAAGCTCTCGTCGCCCACACTGGCTCTCTTCCTGGGTCTGGGCTGATGAGGGCGCACACAGGCTTGCTCTCCAGGTGACTGCCGTGGTGGGGTGGCAGCGTTAGTCTGGAGGTGGGAATGCAGCAGTCCCCATGGACACGGCCTCCAGGGGTGAAACGCACTGAGGGCCGTAGGGGGCTTGGGTATGGCAACAGCGTCGATGGTAGGGTGGCCGTGGCAGTGTGGGTGTTCAGTGTAGAGAGCTGTTGGAAGGAGTGGGCTCAGAGTGTACTAGGCGCAGAGGTGGGAAGGAGCTGGAGGCGGGAAGGGTGTACACTGGAGCTTTTCTTGGAGGGCTGAGATAGAGGTTGCTTCCATCTGATGGAGCCAAGACAGCAGGAGAAGGCGCCTGTGCTGCTCAGTGAAGCCCCGTGGGGGCAGCCGTGCTATGTGAGTCAAGGTCAGGCACTGAGTCCTAGGACCCAGAATGTTCCCTGCTTTAGATGAAGAAGGGAGAGGGGTGCTTCATAAGAGCTTCTAGGAGGATTTTCTCGGCTCACCCAAGGCAGTAAGTCGTGTGTGTGTGTGTGTGTGTGTGTCTGTGTGTGTCTGTGTGTGTGTCTGTGTGTGTGTGTGTGTGTGTGTGTGAAGGACTGTTAGATTATGTGAGGAGATTTTCCTGGTTTCCCGATGGGCTCGAGGGGAGGGAGTCTCCAGGATCTGCCCCCATCTGACCTTCACACAGAATATCACTGAATTCTCTCATTTTTCTTGGGGCTCAGCTTCCCGAAAGGGTATTCCTGGTGCTGGGGATGGAGCTCAGCAGTGCCATACCTGCCTGGCAAACACAAGGTCCTGAGTTCGATCCCCGGTACCAAATAAAAAGGGGCAGGGTGGTTCCTGTCAGTAGCCCATGGACACCTGGCTATCTGCTAACTCAAGACACCTCCAAGAAACTGAATATCTTCCCAGAGGAACATTTTGGAGAGAATTCTGACATTCCAAACCCTTGAACACTGGAGCTGGAAGAGAACTTAGTCTACCGTAGTCCTGTAGGGTAGACACCTATGTGAATGTCAGCCTTATAAATCTCAGGACCCCGGGGCCTGGTGTGGGAGACAGCAGTCATGCATCACCCAGAGAAAAGGGAAGGGCAGTAGTTAAGGAGAGTCAAAGGCTTTGAGGTTCTGCTGGCAAACACCTACAAAAGAAGCGTCCCCAGAAGAGGACATCTAGAGCCACTTAAAATGGGTAGGATTTATTTTTTAGTGTTTTCATTATGATTTTGTGGGAAATGAAAACATCAGGGTAAGAGAAGATGTGTTGGTCTACAGAGGAGCAAAGCTACAGAAGCCCGTGTTTAGCTGAGGTTTGGAGGATGGTGACAGGGCCAGCTTGATTAGAGGGCAGGGACAGTGTTGGTGCAGAGAGCGAGAAGGGCCAGAGTCTGGCCATAGCAGGAACTGTGGGGCTAGAACCTGGAGGAGAGAAGCTCGGGCTGAGCCCGCTTTAGTCGGGGTGGTGAGGATTGGCTAGAGAAGAGCTGCTGGGTGGGTGGGCATGAGTGTGCCCAGGAATATTTCACTGGTGAGTAGGAGTGGGACTCAAGGAGTAGAGGCCACTGAGGGAGGGAGCACGCGGGCGGGTTGGTCAGCAGGGCCAGCTCTGGAGAGGAGTTCCGGGAGAGGAGAGGAGGTGAGAAACCAGTACAGGGCATCAAGCTGGTGACAGGTCAGCACAATGGTAGAGGTCAGAGAGCGAGTTGATGGGGAGGACATGAGGCATCGAGTGTGGCCAGCAGCAGGTTATTCTTTGAGAAGTACGTAGAAATGGAGACAGGTTGGTATTTTGAAAAGGAAGTGCAGCAAAACTTTGTTGGAGCCATTGAAGGACCTGAGTTCTTGTAGGAGAAGGAGACAGAGGAACAGAAAGCCAAGGCCTGGAAGAA